TATATATATATATATATATATATATATACATTATACTATCAGCATCACAAATAAAAAATAAAAAAAGTTCTCCAGCATACTTTGATCCAAAGAGCATTTTGAGCTTCATGAGAATATCTGACCATCTGTACAAACAGTTAATGTCACAAAAATTCACATCAAAAAATAAGGTGCAGAATCTGAAATATTTCTTTTTAATTGTACATCATAACTTTTCTTTGTTTTTCATTTTTCGAAATCCTCAAACTTTTAAATTACTTCCAGGCTTCACTGGGAAAAATACAGATTTTAATGTGGTCTCAGACTTTCAGACCCCACAGTATGTAACTGGCAGACAGCAACTTATATTAGAAAGGAGACACACAAGTGATCTGCTGCGGTTAATTGCCACTTTCTCTTCATTCCCTTTACTCTCCTCTATCTGTCCTGCTTTTCTGTTTCAGATAGGGATGCTGCACTACACAGTAGCTTCTCCTGCTGTGAGGTTTTCCGGGGAGACGTTCATAAATTAGGGATTACTTTCCTTACACGTCTTTTCCACCTAGTCCACTAGACATGCACGCACACAGATTCCAGTGTAGCCACATAATGCACTCTTCTGATGTGCTGACGTACATTGATAAAAAGCTTTTGCTCTGTTCTAACGTAGATCTTTGAGGAGGATTTGTGTTTTACCAGTTTCAAATGCAGTTTACAGAAATTCTACCAAAATACAGAAAACAGAAAAATGTTTTGCATTGAAATAACAGACCATAAGTTAACATTAGAAATAGCGGCAAACCCACAAGATAGTGCTTGACCACAAAACCTAACCGAAAAACCCGCTGTGACCAATTTCAGTTCACCGTTTCATATCATAGTTTTTCGATATGAAATATAATACATTTCTGAAACTACATATACAACACACAGACACTCACACACACAAAGATTCTTGCATGCATGTTGTAAACAGTGTGGTTTAAGAAAATGTGTTTTTCAAAAAAAAAATTATAATCTAAAAATAAATTTTGGGTAATAGCAAAATGTATTTTTTTAAATATATTTTGGACAATATAAAGATATTCTGATACATTTTTAAGACGTATAAATGGTCAAAAAAAAAGAAAAGAAATACAATTAACTAAAAATTGAATATATTTATTTACATTTTTTTTTTAATCTATATTAGCCATTTTTGCCCATTTTGTATATTTTGAAATATATTAAAAATGTATTTTTTGCCATATAACATTTCTTTTTACCATTAATTTAACCAATGATATAGTATTATATAGTAGTATTTATATATATATATATTTTTTTTAAACTTTTTGTACTTAAACATTTTTCATAAAAATATCTGGATTCAACATTTTGGGTTTTATATCATCTTCCTCTCTGATTGTTAAATTCACTCCATTTCCAATGCGCATTTCTATGTATTCCCTCTCTTTTTCTTGTCCACATCTTCTAGTATTTTCTCTCTCATTTTTCACCATATTTATTTATTTGATGGCAAAAGACACCTTTAGAAAGAGCCTTAAGAGCCGCTTATGGGTCATGGGCTCAAGTCCCAGTGCACCTCATTGCTGTGCCTTGACCGTCCTTTCCTCCTGTCATATGACCCCGGGCCGGCACTGAGCATTTTGTGAAAGGCAGGTCTGGGAAGCATCACTTTTAAAACCCATTCAGCTTATGAGATCTGAAAGGTAGTAGTAACATCTGACCATCAACTTTGTGAAGAACCAGGTTGAGTTTTGCTAAAACTGTTACTGTGCCATTGCTGGAATAGATTAGGAGATATCAAGGACAGGCTGATCTGGTAAAAGGATGATATTTACATGGAAGTCAGATATTGTGAACAGCAGTGGTGAACAGAGAGAGGACACAAACTGAGAGAGGAGCAAAGAGCAAGAGAGATGGATGAGTGCACTGCTGCTCTCCACAGTTGGCTTTCACATCCTCCACTCTCATCTCCTCTTTTTCCACTGCCCTTTGACCTCTAAGCAGAGCACCATGGGAAACGTGAAATATTTTTAGTGTCCGTCTGATAACCAGCAGATGGAGGTTTGAGAGTCAGAGAACACTTCTCTGTTAGCTTTGGTGTGGTTTGGATCAGATTCTTTGATTGCTCAGAGGATGCTCATTCATAGCTCAGGAGACACTCTTTAAAAAAAATTAAGGTTCCAAAATGTTGGTTTTCTCAGCAATGCCTTAAGGCTAGAATACACTGCACAACTTTGTTCAGTTTTTAAGATCTTAAAATACTGGGCATCATACACTTACTGACTTTGTAATAGTTACTGATGAAAAACAGACCATCATACACTAAACGACTGAGGATCATAGCAGAATTTAAAGTTGTTCTGATCATAACAAACTCACACATAAATGTGCACCTTGTTGCTAGGAGACGCGTGACAAATGAAAACAATATGTGTTCTAAAATCGGCTCAAAATATCAAACATGTTTGATATCCGATTGGATGGAATCAGAGTCTGAAGCTAAAAAATCGGAGTCTGTGAACATAATACATTATGCAATTTTCTATGAAATCTGTCAACTCAAATCTGCAGACTGGCTCTGACTTTCGGCAACTAGCGTCAACTTATCCAAGCTGTAAATCGTCCGAAAATCAGGGCAAAAATCGTGTAGTGTATTCCAGCCTTAAAAAGAACCCTTTTTGATTTAACCATTCTTAAAAGAGCCATTATTTTCTTAGTGTGAAGAACATTTTAAAAATCTGAAGAACCTTTTGTACAATGGAAAGGTTCCATGGATGTTAAAGGTCCTTCATAGAACCATATATGCCAAGAAACAACCTTTATTTTTAAGATTGCAAGATGTTTCTTCTAAAATATTTTAGGAGAAATAAAAACTTTTGATTTTTGAAATACAGTAAGAGTTTAGAGCTATAAAATTCAAAGCTCACATAACTTAGTCTTCAAAGATTTTTTTTAAATGTTCAGTCCCAATATGGGAAAAATTACAACAAGTAGTTATGAAGAATAAGTAAAAATGGAGAATGTAGTATAAATACTTTCACAATTAATAATATTAATAATATTAACATTACATTAAGGAAAAATGCACAAACATATTTCAGGTAAAAATATGGGATCATTAAAAAAAAAAAAAAACGTGTAACACAAATGGCCACACTGTAAACATTTTTTTTTTTAAAGTTGTTAATAAATCAAAGATTATAGGAGTATGTTTTACAAGAAAATACTTTCAGTGTGTCTGTTTCTTTCTAATTGTTTGTAAAATTTACTAGCAATATCTGAACGATTTTTTTTTTCAAAGAAAAACCTACACCATTTTTTTTCAGTGCAGCCAATGTTTTATGAGTTATTAAAGTATTTTATTAAAGTTATTAAAGTTTGTTCGCAGACCCTGGTATCTTGACAAATCTGACCACATTGTGTGAAATTATTGCAATTTCCTTTCAAATCTTAGAGAAGACGCATGTGATATTTCTGGACTACTGAGATGGAGATTCTATTTGCTCTCTGTGTAATCTCAACATGAGAAACGAAAGAGATATGAATCAAATTTTTCTGCTTTTATCTTGCGGGAAGACTCGGTTCAGCGCTTCATGCACACATGCCCAGCAGGGGCACATCACAGAGCCACTTTTAGCCTCCTGCCCTGATGAATAGCCAATGCTAGCACACGTGCCTCAGACACATTTAAAGACCCAGAGCGTGTGAGGAGGCTCTTTCTGTAATTTCCCAGGAGGTATCAAAGTAGGTAATGGAAAGTAGTTGGGATATGCAAAGAGTGCGAACAGACAACAAACTGGACAGCAAGAGCAACTGAGGGGCTTTCCGCAGGCAACGTCAAAGGAAGACCTTGCCAGGCTTTGAGTTACAATTGGAAGGATTTCATAGGACTCTGTAACCAGCACAGCTCTGAAGTGGTTATTTCTGTTGTGAATTGATTATGCAAATGCAAGATGAAAACCACCACTCCAGATGGATGGAGAGAGTGAGAGCAGGAAGAGTGAGTGAGTGAGTGAGAATGAATGAACTGAATGAAATATTGCAGGTCTCAAAGACTTGGATTTGAATCAAGAGCTAATTTTAAAACGAACCGCATTCGAAAGCTTTCTGGTTCCATTCTTGCTAATCCTCACATAAATCATAAACACATTGACAGGAATACACTCATGGAAGGCTAAACAGCACGTATAAGCTAACAAACACCAGAAGAATCAAAGAAAATATCAGAGAAAACAAACACAAAGGATGACCACAAATCAATGCCTTGTTTTCCAGTGACTACAACGTACTTTTAAATGTTCAAATGATTTACACTACCATTCAGAAGTTTCAGTTTTTAAAAGAAGTCTCTTATGCTCACCAAGGCATTTGATCACACAGTAAAAACAGCAATATTGTGAAATATTACTACAATTTAAAATAACCATTTTCTATTTTAATATATTTTAAAATGTAATTTATTCCTGTGATGTCAAAGCTGAATTTTCATCAGCCATTACCTACAATCTTCAGTGTCACATGATCCTTCAGAAATCCTTCTAATATACTGATTTGTTTCTTGAGAAGCATTTATTATTATTATCAATGTTGAAAACAGTTGTGCTGCTTAATTTGTTTGAGGAAACCTTTATTTGTTTGCAGGATTCTTTGACCGAACATTCAAACGAACAGCATTTATTTAAAATAGAAATATTTTTTTGCATTATAAATGTCTTTCAGTTCTGTTTAATGTGTTAAAATATTTAATACATTAAATGAAAAAAAAATTTTTTATTTAATGCTGAATAAAATATTAATACTGAATAAAACTAGTTATTTCTTTAAAAAAAAATACACATTAATCAAATTTAAATGAGACTAGACTTTTCAATCTGTTTGTGTGAGACTTAAATTAAAACAGCCACACATTTTCTTCTCATAGTGGCGTGACGTGTAGCCAAGTATACTCTGAATTTGTGTTCTGGATTTATCCATCACTCTATGCTGGAGATGGAGGGGCCACCAGATGTGTCCAGCTCCCTCTTCAATCTCAGCAGCAGTTATGGGGGCACGGAGGCTTTCCTCTGGCTGTTTCCATCAGAGAACATCACATGGACCACAACGTGGCCCACAATCCAGCCAGTTGCCCCTCCACGGGCACGGGACCAAGCCTTGGCCCATGCGGAGATCGGGGTGCTGGGGTTGGTGCTTGCCCTCACTGCTCTGGGTAATGGATTCGTGCTGTGGGTGCTGCTGCTTAGGAAGAAACATCATGCTCCCATGCACCTCTTCATGGTCAATCTATGTGTAGCTGACCTGGTAGTGGCCTTATTTCAGGTAACAGCCTCTTGAGACTATTAAAAATGATGAGTGCTTTGAAATTAGCTTATACGGTTTAGTAATCATTGACCTGAATGGAAAATATAGTGAGACTACATTTATTAAAATGCAGCTGAATTTGTAAATCATAATATGGAACAATTTGCTTTGCACTGGGAAAAATGGATCAAATATGCAACATCTCATAGACCTGATTTTATTTTTTAATCAAAATTCCGATGTAAAGAAAGATCGCACCTCTTCATGGTCAATCTATGTGTAGCTGACCTGGTAGTGGCCTTATTTCAGGTAACAGCCTCTTGAGACTATTAAAAATGATGAGTGCTTTGAAATGAGCTTATACGGTTAAGTAATCATTGACCTGAATGGAAAAATATAGTGAGACTACATTTATTAAAATGCAGCTGAATTTGTAAATCATAATATGGAACAATTTGCTTTGCACTGGGAAAAATGGATCAAATATGCAACATCTCATAGACCTGATTTTATTTTTTAATCAAAATTCCGATGTAAAGAAAGATCACTCCCTATATGTACATAGTTTTCTTTCTTGCTTAAGAAAGAAATTGCTTTTCTTATTTTATTTTCTATTTTTATGTATTTATTTCTCCCCCCTTTTCTTCTCCTCAATATGTACACAACATATGCAAAGGGCTGCATGTATATATGGGCACATTTAGATATGTACATATATGTGAATGTGAATGTAGACATAGGTGTGCTTATGTATGAGTGTATTCATAGGTATAATGTGTAATGAGCATCTGATGGAAGTGTAAGGTTGTTTGAAAAAAAAAGTTTAAAAAAAAATGCAGCTGAAGTATCAGGTGTGGGAGTAATGTTGTGTCAGCAGGGAAGTTCTAGATATCATTAGAGCTGCATGATTAATTGAAATAAAAACTGAAATCGTGATAGGGCTTTGTGCAATTATCAAATCTCAATAACTGCAATATAATAAATAAATAAATGTGCTGCGTGTTTAAGAGTAAAGTGCAGCACTGTTTTCTTTTACATGATTTAACGTTTGAAAAAAATGAAAAAAGTTCAGATAGCCATAAATATTCATATTATAATTGTACAGTAAAATAAAAGTATTAGTAGTTGTTGTAGTAGTAGTAATTAATAGTAATATATTTTGTTTATTAATATGTTTATTTAGTAATGATTATAATAACATCGATATATAATCACAAACATTTTGATCAAATTGTACAGCCCTACAAACAAGCACAGCAAATATGGAACTTTAAAAAAAAAAAAATTAAATCGCAATTGCAATTTTTTTAGACAAATTGTGCCGAGGGAGGTGGAGGGTTGTGATCTCATTGGCTGTAAAATCAGCAAAGGTCAATCAGCTTGTGCCATGTATTAAATGACGTGACTGCATATAAAAGAACCTATCAGCCTGCGCCATCGAGAGTTTTGTGCCTGAATTAGATATATGTCTTTATTTTGTCCCAGGTGCTGCCACAGTTGGTGTGGGACATCACAGAGCACTTCCAGGGGCCTGACGTTCTGTGTCGCTCCGTCAAGTATTTGCAGATCGTCGGGATGTTTGCATCCTCCTATATGATCGTTGCCATGACTGTGGATCGGCACTATGCCATCTGCTCCCCCCTTCAAGCGTATCGTGGAGGTGCGCCCTCCCGCTGGAACACCCCCATTACGGTTGCGTGGGGCCTGGCCCTAGTGCTTAGTTTGCCACAGGTGAGGAGTAAGCAATCTCAAATCGTTCCTGACTGATTTATTTAATTGCATCACAACTATTTTTTCAAGCTCATGACTGTCTCCTCGCTTGCACGCAGGTGTTTATCTTCTCGCGGTCAGAGGTGTCCCCTGGGGTGTTCGAATGCTGGGGCCACTTTGCTGAGCCGTGGGGTCTTAAAGCATACGTCACCTGGATGACTGTGGCTGTATTCGTATTGCCAGCCTTAATCATCACTGTCTGTCAGGTATCTCCAGCTTTTTTTCTCAATCTCTCACTCTCTACACATCTTTTTAATATTAAATATATGGTTTTGACATATCTTGTCTAACAATGTTTTATAGCATAAGAACATGGTGTATATTATGCAAATGTCAAAGACTTGAAATGTTTAATAGGAATTAGATGTACCGCAGGGTACAACCTAATGGCTGTGCCAGTATTGGGGGAAATTCAGAATTTAATAATTGGCTCCTTTTCAATTCATGAGTTGGACATGACTTTGAATGACAGGAAGAGGAATGTACTTAATTGTAATTCAAAGAAATTCACTATAACATCACAGAGGAATTTCTGTAGTCCAGAACAAGTTTGCTAATAATTTTGATGTCTTTTGGCTTTCTTTTTACTTATTTTGCAATGCCAAGGTCACTGATTTGATTCCCAGAATGCATGAACTAATAAAATATATACCTTGAATGAAACGCAAGACAATTTGCATACATTGCCTGCCTGCCAAATGCATAAATGTAAATGATGTATACAAAACATATCCCATACGATTGTATTTAATATAAATTAGTTTGTTTCTTCTTCTTCTTCTTTTGTTATCAGTAATGCACATTAGGGTGTTTTGTGATGCATTTACTGTTATTTAGTTAATGTTTATTGCATTATTTTAATGTCATGTGACCCTGTGCACAATCTAAGAACACGATTTCCTCAACAGATTAGGCATATTTATCTGAATTAAGTTTAATTAGGGTTAATACTGTCAAAACAAAGATTTTAATTTTCCCATACAGCACCATAAAATGTCCACCACACGTTACTGCACTTAGTTCTTCTAAATGGCACATGACTCTGAACCATGATAGGAATATTTTTACATTGATGAATCTCTTTCATCCCAGGTTCGCATCTTCAGAGAAATCCATGACAACATCTACCTGAAGTCTGAGCGGGTGGTGACGGCAGAATTTAAGAGGAACTCTGTCAGCTTCCACTTTGCTCAGCGGGAGGGGGGCAGTGGACGAGGCAGAGAGAGAAACAGACAGAGCAGACACAGTCACCATGCTGACAGCAGTCTCAGTCAAGCTCACTGCAGCCCCTCACATCATGCAGGAGAGGAAGCGTGCTCCTCAAGCCTATATGATGACTATTCTCATACTGTAACCTGTAAGAGCTCTATCTGCGAGCCCTGCTTTGGGCCCCGCCCCTCTTCAGACAGCTCCTCCCCCTCTATCCAAACTCATCTGCAAAACACCCCCAATCATCTCTCAGGCCCCTCTCATTCTCAGTCATTATCAGCCAATAGCGTGTGTGCACTGGCTGGACACCCAAATAGCTCTGGAGCTTCTGAACTGTGGCCAGATGCTTTTCCCCTTCCGACCGATTATTCGCACCCACCGCCTCTCCCAGGTGTGACTAAGGCCATGTCTAAGACGGTGAGGATGACTCTTGTCATTGTGCTGGTCTACACCATCTGCTGGTCTCCTTTCTTTATTGTTCAGTTATGGGCAGCCTGGGACCCCAACCCACCAAACCAAGGTCAGACATTAAGCAAACTTAAATGAATATACATGTCCTGTACAGTCACACAATAAGGCTTCTTGGATGCTAAAAACACTATGATGTATTTTTAAATGGGTTCATATCATAATAGGCAATGTTCTGAAATAGGAAGTTGCTGTACAATCAGGCAGCACATTTCATCAAGCCATAGAAACAATATAACAAAGAAGACATTGTCCACTTGTCAAAAATTGATGGGAGAAGTCGCAAAGCTCAATATGGTGGCCATAGGTATGGAAGTCCTGCTGTTCAGTTAAAAGAAGCAATCAATTTTTTGATACAGACTACAGACTTTTATGTGCATGTGCACTAGCTAAGCCAGAGATTTTTCCAGGGTAATTTTAACAAAAAAAAAGCCAAATTTAGTATACCATTGTCAAGATTGTTTTTCTGAAAAAAATAAAAAACTTTTATTCAGCAAGGATGCATTAAATTGATCAAAAGTGACAGTAGAGAGATTTATAAAGATTTGTATTTCAAATAAATGTCCTTTCTAATCAGGATTTCCTTGCAAACATTTAACTTGTTTAACTATGTTATCTGTCCTAGTTACAGCAGTTATTGTCACAACTGTAAAATCATAATATATGAATATGGAAACTTCTTCAGACAGTGCAAGAATTCATTTATTTGATAATTTATTTTATTCTTCAGACTTTTTCTGTCACTATTATTATTTGCACTGATTGTGTTACAGGCTTTAATACTAATACTTTTCTTAGGAATCTTCAGACTTTCACCTGATAGATGATAAAACAAGGGAAAATCTCATAGACCTGCACATATTATTCACACAAAGATATTTCAATACGGTAGAGCTGTCAATGCAGTAATAAATGCAAATGTTATTTCCTGGCTTTGAGTGTGCCTTTATCTCTCATGCAGGGGCTACTTTCACTATCCTGATGCTACTAGCCAGTCTAAACTCCTGCACTAACCCATGGATCTACACAGCCTTCTCCAACAGTGTGTCCCGTGAGCTGCTCGCACTGCTGCGCTGCCACACCGGATCCCCACGCAGAGGTTCGCTACCGGACGACTCAACCACAACTCACATGTCATCCAACACCAAGGACTCCACATACTGACCTCTGGCCTGACTTGACTACACGGCAAACACACCACAGACATGATGGGCTAGACCAGGGGTGCCCAACCTCGGTCCTGGAGGGCCGGTGTCCTGCAGAGTTTAGCTCCAACCCCAATTAAACACACCCGAACCAGCTAATCAAGCTCTTATAGGCATACTAGAAACTTACCAGCAGGTGAAATAACTTTTTTTAACAGAAGAAATGGTAATGGCAAATGAACAGCAATATACAGGTCAATTTCCAATCTAAATATTGTAGGTAGCAAAATCTCTACGTTATGCATACAGTAGTCAACATTTGAAGTGGATCAAAAAGTTCATCAAAGTTGTCCTAAGACAAGAATGCATTTTGGTTTTAGGTTTTAGGACAACTTTGGTGAAAGGTTTTGATCCACTTCAAATGTTGACTAGTGTATATGTACACACTAATCACACCGATTTCAGTCTCACTCATTAACTTGTCACTCTTTTAGCTCTACCTCTGGTATTTGCTTGATTTTTGTGTTACAATTTTTTTTATTTTTTTTTTCTCATCTGGAATCAGGGGACCATTTACATGCTTCAGAGTAACTTATTTGTACAGAAAATATTATAAACATTATAAATATAATAAAGATGTGTTGAAGGATTAAGAAAAAAATTATTACATTACAACTTAAGTGCCTTATTATTAAAAAAGTATTATATACATATATGTATGCGTATCTTTGAAACGCACAGATTCTTGAGGTACTCGGTCACTGCAAGAATTCAGTAGTGTCTAGTTCAATCTCACACTTTTGCTTGCTAATCCCACCACTGCGAATTATTATTATTATAAACATGCATTTCAAACATAAATTCATTCTGGAAGTCCAAAACTCGCTTACTCTTAGTCTACACAGCTTGAGAAGAAATAAACTCCCATTTTAGGGACATTTTTTGAAGTTTTGAAATATATTGACCTATCACGTTTCACATTTCAAAAGGACTGAAATTCGAAAAATGCATTAATATTTTCCCCATTTAACAAAGGAATTCGCAACAAATCATGTAATTTCCATGAACAAGCAGTTTTGATTAGGACAAATATACTGTTTCTAAATATGATATTTATTGTCTAACAGTATAGCAATGACTGTGGTTAATTGTAAATTACTAACCATTAGATATTAGTAAGAATAGTGATCAGATACTGGAAACATTGAGAAAACTAACTGCTAGTGAACTTTTTGTTATACTTAATGCATAATGACGGATAATCATAAAATCATTTAACATATTTAATTGACAAGATGTCCAGTACCTAAAATATGATCAACGTTGTAATAAATTGTTTTGTTTTTTATATATATATCAATTTACTTTGTTGTTGTTCTTTATTTTGGTCCTTCTTAATTTCTTCATAAGGCAAACATTTGTTTATAGGACAAGCCATAAACTGCTGGAAACTTCACTTCAAGAAAACTATTTTTTAAGCAATAACAGTTCTAGGCAGTATGTGCTCTAGAGTCTCATCCAGTGTGTTTACATTACTTTTCATCAGATGATTTGAGTTTATATTTATCTCACCAGAAGCTTTGCCTACATGAAGAGGAATTAAAGTTTTGACCAATTGTAAAGGGACAGAGTTTTTGATGCACTGGCTGATATGGAAAATGATTGGAAAATGAAAATGTTTTATTTTCCAAAGGTACTATTCATGTCTTTATATGCTTAAAACCTAAATATACATATATATATATTTATACAACAGTTCGTTCTGGTTCTCAAATCTGATTGGTTGAGAACCGTGAGATATTGTACTGGTATCGCTACAGGAACGCCCTTTCACAATTTTGTATCACTCCGCTTGTTCTAGCCGGGTCTATGTTTTTTTTTTTTTATTCACTGAGCTAACTGTAGAGTACGTTAGTTAATATAAGAAGAAATGTCTAGCTTCGCTGTCTCTCTCTCTCTCATTTGGATGCACGTCTTGCCGCATTGTTTCTCTCTTATCCACCGTTTTCTTGCCGTAAAAATGGGCGCAGCTATTTGTAAAATCTATGGGTCTAACTTCCGGTCTCATCCGCATCCAGCTATATTTAGCTGTACAAAACAGTTCATTTTGCTGCTTGATATTGAAAACTGGTGTGTCTTATCATATTATTTTAATGTATTATCTTAATTATGAACACACAGGTTTGTAGTGCAAACAGTTTTACCGTTTACTGCACGTTGTTATTCTCCTCGTTATTTACCTATAGCGGCTAATGAACCGGAAGTCTCACCCATAGGCTTAATTCCGCGTTGAAGAAAAAGGTGGATAACCTCATTATTTCTCACTAATAACCTAACTGAAGCAGTCAGGGGCGTAGATTACGCGGGGGACGCGGGCCCCCACTTTTAATATCACGTAAATTCGTCCCCCGCACTTTTTCGGGCAAGATGACAGGCAGACGGGTGCCGTGTCTGGGGTCAAAAGAGGTGGCCGCATGTACCAGTCTCTATCCTTTATGCAAAGAAACCTCCCATTATCTTTAAATCAAACCAAAAACATGACAGTCTTTTTTTTCATCTCTGCATTTCAAACAAGAAAACCACACTGCAGCTGGACTGTATAAGGAGATGCTTCTGTGTTTTAAGGGAAAATGTAAGTTTAATTCCATTTGACATTGCTGGCATAAGAGTACTAGAAGATGTGTATACTGTGGTTCCTCTCTTAATCTAAAATCTCAGTTTGAGTGCTACTGCAGGACCCTCTACAAAGATGAAGTGATCATCACCATCAGAGGACACTTAGAAAGAAAAGATTGACTGTAATGCACACCACATTCTTACATGTGTGTTAAACCCTGTTAACTGGTTATTCAAGCCTGTGGTGTCAACTCTTAAAGAGCCACATGGGATACTAAGAGTGAACAGAGTGAAATGGATGACTGGATATGTCCGGAATGGAATACTAGCTTGCTACTTACTGAATACTGTGTAGAGGTGCATACAGTGTAATAATTATGTTCAAAAGTTTGGGGTTGGTAAGATTTAAAAATGTTTTTTTTTTTTAAAGAAGTATCTTATGCTCATCAAAAGCTGCATTTATTTGATCAAAAATACAGTAAAAACAGTTGGGCTGCTCTATATATTTTTTGGAAACCATTATTCATTTTTTCAGGATTTTTTTTTTGATTTATAGAAAGTTGAAAGGAACAGCATTTATGTGAAATATAAAAAAATCTTCTGTAACATTATAAATGTCTTTACTGTCACTTTTGATCAATTTAATGCACCCTTACTGAATACCGTTCATTTCTTAAGTTAATATATAGCAGCCTGCTATCTCACTTTCCCTTCTCAACAAGACAAAAAAGGTGATCTTTTCGACTGTTACACCACTCAGTCTTCATGTCTAGAAATTGAGAATGGCTGCAAAGGGTATTTTTGGAGATTGACTGCACAAATGCAATTACATCAGAGGCAGTTGTTGTGTTCCATCTTTGGGGCTCATGCTCTCCATACAGAACTCACAAACCATCATCTGTTATCCAACTTTACTCAAACTCATATGACATATTGTTACTGCTCGTGCAACAGATTGTCAGGTCACGCAATTAAATCTCTATATCTATGGCCGAGTACACATTTTGATTGATTCGGATTCATTTGCATAGTTGTTGTAAAGTAAACTTTGCTAACATAAAGAATCTTTCTGCTAATGACAAATTATACAGCTCAGCATTTCAGACTGAAATGATAACTTGAGTTTTTGAACTATTCATGAGAACCAGCTCATTATCATGGTAAATCATAACTATGAGATAAAAAAAGACGAAATTATGAGATACTAAGTCAGAATTATGAGATAAAAAGCCAAAATTATGACATTAAAAAGTCAAAATTAAACATGTTGACTATATCTCATAGTTTCAACTTTTTTGTCATAATTTTAAACGTTGTGTTTTTATTTACTTTTTTTTATTGCATTTATTACAGACTGCTAACTCAACTTTGGTAAAAAAAAATTTTATTGATGATTTAGCACTGTCGGCTTAGATTTGACAGCAGGGGAATTTTCAAAATCGATATGCCAGCCCTAATCAACACATAAATATGTAATAATCAGTGATGACAATGACCCTTATGTGCTATTTAATGCACAAACACAAGACTCTGCTGTACAGGGAGCATTAGTACACAGTGTAACAACTGGTCCTCCAAGGGTTCTGCTGAACAGGAGAACAGGTGTCAGTGTCCGTGAACAGAAAATGAGTGGAATCACAAGCTGTTAAACTATTTCCTCGCTGAGATCAGACTCTGCACCAAAAAGGACATTATGAAAGAGAAAAGGGGGGTTGCAGAATGTGAGAAGGAAAAACTAAATATGCACAGCGAGTAATTATGAATCTCTTCCTCTGCTAGCAAAAACAAACCAGATGATAGCGGAAGAAGAGCTGGTAAACAAAATAATTTAGGTCAATAAAAATGACAGATGATGATTTATAATGGTCTAATTGCAGATTCAAGCAAGGAGAGTGGAAAAAGAGAACAAAAAAGGACAAAACCTAAAGGTGAAAACAAGGATGGCGTAGAGATGGAAGAATTCCGCCTTCACAAATTCCTATTTATTCTCATATTGCGCTGATACACATACTTGAGCATTGGAATAGTCGTCTTATTCTGAGGGAGAGATGATAAAGGGAAAATGAAGACTTTTTCTACTCTTTATGGATACATAAATCTGTCTAGATATTTGGAGACATCGAGATCCAGAAGGTTTTCTGAGCTGGAGTGCATGCTGAGGTGACAAACACAAATGTATTCTCCAGTACTAAACTTTTCTCTGCGTGAACCTACAGAAAATGCAATTTAATATATTATGCAAGTTAACTTTCCACAAAAGAAAAGTAAAAAATCTTCCTTCATATAATCTCAGATTTTATACGAATTCATAAATGCTTCAGCCTACATCTGTTCATTGGCAGAAGATGAAAAAAAATCTGTTTCTGATCATGCACATTTATGACCTCTGTTCATTCGTTTTTTCTTTTTCTTTTTTCTTTTCAGTTTTCCCTTTGCTCAAAAAACAATTGCCATACACTCAAAAAATGCATTGTTTATCAAATACTCAATTTAGCTGTCA